AACCAATCCAGAAGCAGCATCCTTGTACTTCCGGGGTGATACAGAACGGTCACGCGGTGATTGTTTGTGGGGTCGGGAAAGGGAGACTACTATGATGTTGGAGACACCTGGAATATGCCGCGCCCGGACGTGGATGTTGAGAGAGTCGATGAGTTGAAAGAACTCGAGAGCGAACGAGAGGAGGGACATCGACTTTGTGGATGTCATTCTGTTGACGTACCACACGACCGCAGTGTTGTAGGACGGGATCACGAGAGAAGAGGAGCGTAGGAGCTCTGTACAATGCGAGACCGCCAGAAAAGCTGCCGTGAATTCGAGATTGTTGATGTGGAGGCAACGATCTTCCTCGGACCAACGCCCTGCCACCTGAAGGTCTCGAAAGTGCGCCTCGTATGCCCGTATTGCCTTGTATGTAGCAATACATAGTATTCTCATTTTGTTATATTGATGGGAAATGTGTGTGAATTATTTAATGTAACGTTACCTCCACGATAGGTACACAAAGCCTTTGAAGTCTTTTACAGTTTTGTAAAAATAGTAACAACGCAATAAATGTACTATACCACTTAATTCACGTTTTCTAGTATAACACATCAATCTTATCATAAATGTCAGTGGCGATATAAACCTGAAAAATATGTCTATACTTGAATCGAACTCGGTCATGATACTATTACATTACCTCCACGATAGGCGAGACGTCAGCCGAGCCTAATATTTTTCTGCTAACCTAATATGACACCGTATACGGCACCTAAAGACACCATAACGAATTTATTATACCGAAAAGTTATAAGTTATAAAGTTATCTATATCGCCCTACTCTTCTAAGGTTAGTCCGCTGGCGTTAAGGGTCAAAGGGAGACTACTCTTCAAACCTTAGAGGCCAAACCTTGTTGACAATTTCAACTATAATCTTTATCGATAAAGCAACGAACGTGATTGACAAAAGGTTAATGTCCTGTCACATCACAATTTATGATACAAAAACACAAAACAGTGTCGAATAACGAATCTCTGTATCAGGATTTTCATGTGAAATATGTGAAGTGGGTGTTGGAAAATCTTAGATGGCTGTTACTGACGGTATACGGTCTCATATTAGGTCAGTAACAACCATCTTGGATTTGTACTGACGGTATACGGGCTCATGTGGAGTCAGTAGTCCTACTCACTTTGAGGCATAATAAAAACCTATATGCCCTCAAGATTTGTACGGGAACTTGTCCCATAAAAGGAATAACTCATGAATATTAATGATCCTACGACCTAGGTTTGAGGGTGAGGGGGATTGCCTCTGATTACCACATCCAATTAAATTGATTTTTTTTTCAATAAATAATAATAATAATAATAATAATAATAATTTAAAAAAATTTATAATAATAACAATCATCATCATTTTATATTCATATAAAAAACATTAATTCCTTGTTTTCAACCACAGTTTACGTTGTCAGTTGTGCACAGAAACATGTTTATAGATGTTCAAGAATGCAACTGAATAACTCGGCGTTTGACGTGCGTTTTTTTTTTAAAATTTTTTTATTTTAGACAGTTTGTGTGTGTGTGTGTGTGGGGGGGGGGGGGGGGGGGGGGGGGAGGGGGGAATTGCCTCCGATTACCACATCCAAAGTAATTAAATAATATGTTGGTTGCCCCGAAAACATTGTGTAGTGAGAAATATTGTGCGGATCAATTCCTAACAACCCTACAGCTTGCAGCAGTGACCGATAAGGTATTCATCCCTAACTGATATTCCTGAGGTGATTCCAATGGATCACCAGTATTCTATATTAGTGTAGGAGGCGACTAAAGATGGATCGGCGTGGGTGACGGGGTGGGTTGCCGTCATCGTCCACACTGGCGGCATTGAAATCGTTAATAATCCAAGAGATGGGAGCGATTTATTTCACCCACGTGGTCTATACAAGTTAATGTTTGTTTCAAAGACATAAAAGGCTGAAAAATCGTCTTACGAAAATCACTAGGGGGCGCTGATATCATGACTCATCACGTTTTATGCATTATACTGCTCATAACTAAATGGATGTTTTCATCAAAATTATACATAATTTTCTTTTAACATTTAGTATCAAAATATAGAGAATACAACAACCTTCGCAGTCATACACACAAAGTCTTCTCATATATTTCCGATGCAATAATACTTCTTTTATTTTGAAAATTCAGCTTTTTGTCTTTGAAACAAACATCAGCTTGTATAGACCTCTTATATCGCTCCCATCTCTGGGACTATAAGACAACATTAGTCGATGGTATGCAGGCCGCTGTCTTTACAGCTGGACTTGTTCTGAGCGCAGCATTAAACAACAGCCACGAAAACAAGGTGACATATTGGTGCAAACTTAATTGATTTAATGCTTGTTGGTCTTACATGGTCGAAACCGAGCGCCTTTTTTCAATTGCAGGATCAATGCTCAGAACGAGCCCATTCTCTGTAGATCTACCAGTTATACCTCGTTCACACCGTAGTAAATGGGTACCCGGTAGTAGGTGCTTACGTGTATCTCTGTGTATAAATATCCTCATCTTTTTTTAAAATAATAATAATAATAATAATAATAATTTCATGTTCAATTTTAAAACACGAATTCCTTCTTTTCAACCACACTTTAAGATATCAGAAATAGATATGCACAGACACATGTATAGGTGTTCAAGAATCCAGCTAAATAACTCGGTGTATTTTTAGACCAGGATCAATTAAACATATAACACACACGGTAAACCAGAATTTAGTCGATGGAAACATTTCTTTAAAATGGTTGTCTTTCTTTTCAAAAGAACCTTTCCTCCTGTGCTGTTTTCAAGGAAAATGGACTTTATTTTGATCTTTACTTGCCTAGGCTCTAATATATAGCTCTTTATATATTCCACAGTCATGGCGCAGGACTAATGGAACACTAACACGTAAACTAACACGCAGAAAACCAATAAACCACTACACACGAGGGAAGTGAACTGGGATAACCTAGAAGTAACCTGGACGAAGTGACAAATTGTTTTCACAGGTGCATTAATTCTTCATTTGGTAGCTTACTGTGACGGTTAAATTTGCCCGAAGAAGCGGCGCTTACTGCACACTTTTCTGTGACCCGCCATGTTTGCACCAGATTCTAAATTTGTGTACACACCATGCCATTCATTATCATCAGTAGACGTAGCAGCAGCAATAGTAGCCGAAGGATCTACTACATTAGCAATAGTACTACTACTACTACTTCTACTACGACTACGACTACGACTACTACAGCAAATCCGTGAACCTTCGCGTTAGAAATGATCTTCAGCAACCAATGCTTGTCGAAGGAGGCGACTGACGGGATCGGATGGTCAGGCTCACTGACTTGGTTGATGCATATGTCATCGTATCCCAATTGCGTAGATCGTTGCTCATGGTGTCAATCACTGGATTGTCTGGTCCACCAAATCATTTTCATACCGTCGTCATATGGCTGGAATATTGCGGCGATAAACAACATACAAGAAAGTTAAACATTTACTACAACTACTACACCTACTCCTACTACTACTACTACTTCTACTTCTACTACCACTACCACTACTACCATGACTACACATCTCACACGTTAATAAGGCTACGTGCATGTGAGAATACCTTACAATTGCCAATAAAATCTCAACACATGTTTTCAAAACCAACAATTTATTAAGTAAAAATTAAAAAAATACAAATCGTTGTATATCTAAACACATTATTCATATGAATGTCTTTGCATAGCACTTGTATATGTAACAGGCTTGTATATGTGGTACAAACGGTACCTAACAATTGTATATGCGTAACACATGGGCATATTTATACAGATATCCATGTTTTTACAAAAAGTAACACATCATGGCACTGGTTGAATATTAAAAACAAGACACGTTTTGAGGTGGCGTCCCATTAATTACAATCAACATGGATATGGACGGAATACAGTGTTATATGTGTTTGTTTGTTTGTTTGTTTGTTTGTTTGTTTGTTATTTAACGCCGCACGAAGCAATATTCCAGCTATATGACGGCGGTCTGTAAATTATCGAGTCCGGACCAGACAATCCAGTGATTGATATTATGAGCATCGATTAACGCAATTGGTATACGATGACATGCATCTACCAAGTCAGCGAGCCTGACCACCCGATCCCGTTAGACGCCTTTTACGGCAAGCACCTATTCTACCCCGGATCTTCACGGGTCCAGTGTTGCATGCTATGTTTTTAGTAAACCACAAACTAGTAGTTTAATCAGGAATAACTCTGGCGAAACAGGTAATAAGCTCGGGTAACATTAGAACTCTCTTCGGTGCACAGACACCCACACTTATATACAATACAGCGGTGACACGAACATTGGCGTATAATCCTGGCATTTCGTCATTGACCAGAAGCTGTTGTGCCTTTCACCCCTTTCGGATATTGGTGGCCATTTCTATCTGTAACTCTGAATTTAAATATTCTTCATTCTTTCCACGAGCATTTTAATTATTTTACGCATATACATAATAAGTTATAGAGGATAAAGGTCCGGCCCGCTCAAATGATACGTGCACATCAGAATTGTCATGTTCTATTTTCGTAAATGCACTTTATCATTAGAAACATCGCCGGCTACCTCTTTCCATCTTTGGTCATTGGCTTTTAAGCTCCTATAAGCACAGCATCACATTGACAACATAGTAACAATTGGTAAAATAAAAATATATGTATTCCTATCGAAATGGACGTGGAACACAGACACAATGCAATTGGTATTTCAGCCAGTTATAAGTATGTCAAAATATATCAGAGGGAGGGTTACTATAATGTTCAGAAGTGTATATACAGGCAAGATGAGGGCTTCTTGCTATCTTGAAGGAGACGCGGAGCTGTATTCTGTTTCTAGTGTCTGTGAAACAACAGGGGACAGTCTTTTACTGAGGAACTGCGAAGCTCCCTAGGTCCTCCTGCTCCTTCTCCTCTGCTCCTTCTCTATTCCGCTACAGCCCTGAAGATGACGTCCAGCTCGGCCCAGACAGTGGCCAGTGACATCCTCTCTATGGGCAGCTGCTCTGTGCAGGACTGACTCACACTCTCCAGCTCCGGGATCTGACTCTTCCTGCCAATCTGTCCCAGGAGATGCCCCAGACTGTAGATATCCGACAAGATGCTGGAGTGGGACCCCATGCACACCTCTGGGGCCAGGTAATTATGATCTTCTACCTGAGGTCGGGAACACTCGAACTGAAGCCCCTGTCTGTAAGTAGCCATTCCCACATCGATGTATCTGATTTTAGGTAATCCAGAAGTAAGGTCCACAAGTACATTGTCACTCTTTAGATCATTGAGGAGGACATGTTTAGCATGGATCGCCTCGAGTCCTTCTGCCAGCTGGCAGCAGATGCTCATCCAGGTCTTCTTGCTCAGTTTATCTTGGCTGAATAACAGCTTCAGTATGGTGAGACCGTTGCCGAAGTACTCCTGCACTAAGGAGTACCCACCTATGGATGCAGAGGAAGTTATTAATCCGACAAACTCAGGGACACAGTTGGTGTCTGAGAGGTACTTCAGGAGCCTGGCCTCGTGTTGGATCACTTCCCAGATGACGCCCTCATTGATATAGTCCTTCACCACCAGCTTCCCCTCGCGTCCAGACATCTCCGCCAGGTAGACACAGCCATAGGCACCACGACCCACACACTTAAACATGCCATCATCTTTCTTTGCAAACCGCACATCCCTCTTCTCTAGAATCGGTAGGTCGATGTGATCTAGATCATCAGACATAGAAGGCAGAAGTGGGTAACCATTGACTGTGAAAGGTGAGACTCTCGGATCAAAGCCGAAGACACGGAGCATGACATCATCAGTGACTTTGCTTGGCGATTCCTCTGCAACTTTAACCTCACTGACTGCACGGACAGCAGACAGAGTGTCCGAAATCTGCTTCTCGCTGCGTGCAGATAGTAGTTGAGCCACCACAGCTTTGTGTGACAAAAGCTTTGCTTTTTCAAAGGACATCATCTGCTTCCTCATCAACTCCTGTTGTTCCTGTAAGGACAAATCTGAGGACGTATGTCGTGACTCTTCTACAGATGGGTTAGGTTTCCTTGGCGAGATCTCCTTTGCCTGGGCGAGCTCCATTGCAAGACTCATTGTATTCCGTGTATGTCCATGTTGGGTTTGCAGCCCCATGTCTGTGGTCTGTAGTTCATCAGCAAGTGACATCATGTTTCTGGATGGGGATGCTTCACCACTGAAAGACCTGCGGATGAGGTTCTCAATGAAATGGGGATCTGTGTATTCAACAGGAAAGTCCTCGACCAGACTCATGTCAGAGTGGCTTGTTGTCTTGGTAACCATATCCTCTGTGACATTATTTCTGTGAGAACTCTCAAACCTCGTTTCTTGTAAGAGGACCTGGTCAATATCTTTTTGCTTTGGTACCTGCTTCGTGTCACAGCAAGACATCTCTTGGGGTAACTGGCGACTCTGTTGGGCGAGTTCATCAGCCAGGCTTAGTTCATTCCTGTCCTCAGAAGATTTAGACAGTTCCTTGGTCTTAGCTTTAAACCAGGTTCTCTCCCCTGTGGCAAACACATCATACTCATGCACATCATCCCGCATGGACACTGTCTTCGGAGTCGAGCACGGATCTCCCTCAGGAATGTGTTGTCCCTGGCTGGATCTTTCAATGCATTGGTTCGCTGGTGATCTCTCAGTGCTGCTGACAGTGGTACATTCACTGCTGTCCACCAACAGTCGGGCCGCTGCTGATTTATATTTTTGAAAAGCCATGGATGATTGTCTGTCAAAAAATACATCAAATGATTTGATTGCTCTTTGCTCATAGAAGGATGGTGGAATGAGTTCATACTTCTTCGTCACGGATGGTTCGAAAACCCTCTTTGGCGCTGCAGATGGTGACTTGACAAAGAAGTCTGGAGTCAGCAGAAACTGAGTTGAATCAGCTGAGTCTTTACTGAGGCTGCTTGTATCCTGGGTCTCTGTTTCTATGTTCACAGAGTCAAGTGAGGCACCGACCTGGACATCACGAGCTGGTACTGGATCCGTCTGACAGGCGACGTCCACCTGGGCAGGTGAAGCTTGGATCTCTACATGGCGGGTACGGGGACAGACTTGGATCCCACTGGATGTGGTGGCAACAGAGACTTGGGCGCCACAGGAGGTGGTGCTGGTGGAAGTCTGACTGCCACAGGAGGTGGTGCTCTTGGAGGCCTGGCTGCCACAGGAGGTGGTGGGGTTACTTTTCTGCCCACCGACCTGTGTGAAGATCTGGAGACACGTGTCCTTGGTTTGAAGATGGTTGAATATGATCTCCTTCAGTTCATCTGCACTCACCACATTAACCTGTCCTAATGGGCCTCGGAACAGGTTACTTGTGCACATTTTGTTGGAAGACAGTGGAACGAAGACAACTGTGGATCGGCTCCCGTCTTCCCTCACTGCAGAGAAGGTGGTTCCCTTGGGGTTCCTCACCCATGCTTCATCGCCACACCCACTTTGGTCAGAACGAGGCTGGTTGTCACGTGGGTAGATATATGAGGAGGGAATGGCGTCCCAGCTGCGGCACGTGACTGTCATGTTAGCGCCCCCTAGACTGACCTGCATGCTGTAAAACAAGAAGACATTTCATAATACACCCGTACAGGAATAATTCACAAACAATATCTGATTTGGATAAATGGGCCAACATCTGCATCATGTATAATGTTAGTTTGTTACAAGTCGCAGTCATCAATGTAACACAAAAAGCAGCATGGAAGAAATAGCATGTGGACCAGACAAACCAGTGACTGTTTGAGCAGTGATCGAACATGAGGTGTGGTGAAATGGGGTTTAACGTCGCGTCCAAGATTATTGCACTTTTTTAGCGACGTGCATGCACGTGCGTGTGTGGCTGCTTGTTTCAGTCCTGACTGATGCCGATTAATAGTGCATGCCCACTCAGACACAGTATACTGACTCTGAGCCGACCAGTCCTTGTTTTAGCCCCTTAATGCCGAGCGCCAGGCAGGGTAACAAGTACCATCTTTTAACGTCTTTTAGTATGATGCGGCCTGGGATCGAACCCCGGACCTTCTGCTTTCGGCGGACGTTCTACCACTAGACCACGGAGGCGGTCACATCAGGTATGATTATTTGTCTTTAATAAACTTGATACGACGAGTTTATTAATTAAATACAAGCAAACAAATTTTTCATATTCATTAGAAATTTCTGCTAAAAGAACAGTCGATTAAATAATTCCGATCATTTGCATGTGTTTCTGAATCACTATCAAATAGTGATGATACCAGGTGTTCTCTCCTCTGATTGATAATTTGCCTTTGAAGGGACATTGACATGACGGGTTAATCAAAAGGAGGTTTAAGGTGTTAATCAATTGCTAATTGATCATCATTTCTAACTTTTACATAATTGATACTTTTTATATTAGTTAATAATGGAGTTTAGACGGCCAAGTGTTACATGATAAAGATAATTGTTATAATGTGCTGTTCCATGTCTGTGAGTACACACCAGCCAGGTCACAACTTAGAAATAACCTTCATGTGAGTCCAAGTCATTTACCATGGTCACTCCATCATCATCACAATATATGTTTTAACGAACGGGGTTCTAAGGTACAGATGTCTTACCGTTCACTCAGTGAGCGAGCGTCCTTTCTGGTCCACAGGTTTTTCTCTTTTCTGGCCATTTCAGAGCAAATCTGAATTTCTCTCCGAGTCACCTGCAAATGAAAATAGATTCTTATGAAACCTTAAAACATTATTTTACTCCTGATACAAGGACCAGAGCGTTCACAGCTTTAGCAGTGATTGGTAAATCTATATATATATATATTCCTTTGAAACTCTGTTTTTAATAATCTATTAATATTACAATAATGCAGTTGTCATGATGGATTGTGTCAGTTGATTGGTTAGTTATATTCCCGAAATAATTTTAATGACCAGTCATAAAATTTCAATGTTGCAGCTCACGCCAGCCTTATTTAAGATTGAAGTTAGTTTCTCTAAAAGGAATATCCAAGGAAATGGACTGTATAACCTCGTCAAATCGGACTGAATGCTCCTTGTGAAATCGTTACACCCTGTAGTAATCAACCTCAGAATTCGTCCGGATAGCTGGGTGTCCGGACAAACGAGTTCCATACTACAGGGTTTGGCGTCTGTATGAAACATGCCCTTACTAGAAAGGTCAACAAATGGACTAAAGGGTTTCTGATGCTATTTACCTTGTAGATGGCGTTGATCGTCTTCATCACCCCCGACTGTCTCCAAGGGGCGTCTCCTCCCGTCTCTATAAGCGGGGGGTCTCCTCCACTCAAACCTTCAACTTGTAAAGCTTTCATTTTGAAGAGCTGATGAATCGCATGTGATGCCGCAAAGACCAACACAGTTGCTAATGACACTTCTGTCTTGTCCGTCTTGGAAACATTCTATGACGTCATCGTTTTGTGACGTCACATTTGTCTATGATGGAAGTGTGGGCATCGCTAAGCTCCTTACAGCATCTCCACTATGCACAGAGTTAGTGCCGCCTTGTTTAGACATGGGGAATTATTGTCCGGGCAATAAAACGTGAAGATATGTTTTCAATAAAGCAAAGTGTAGTTTACCCGATACTGGTCATAAAAGGCGACCTTCAGCAACCCATGCTCGCCGTGAAAGGTGACTATGCTTGTCGACTTATGGGGTCGGGTGGTCAGACTCGCTGACTTGGTTTGTTTGTTTGTTTGTTGTTTAACGCCGCAGCTATATGAGGGCGATCTGTAATTAATAATCGAGTCTGGACCAGCCAATCCATTCATTGATATTATGAGTATCGAGCGAACCTGACCACCCGATCCCGTTCGTCGCCGCTTTCGACAAGCTTACTCGCCTCTTTCGACAAGCATAGTCGCTTGTTATGACAAGCTTGGGTTCCTGAAGACCTCTTCTTCCTCGGAACAGTTTAGTTTAAATCTGAGATGTACAATAACAGAATAGAGTCGATTGTTTCTGTCAGACTCGAGTGTTGATGGGTTATCATCAGTTGATGGCGTTGGGGTAGCCTAGTGGTTAAAGCGTTCGCTCGTCACGCCGAAGATCCGGTTCGATTCCTCACATGGGTACAATGTATGAAGTCCATTTCTTGTGTCCTCCGCCGTGATATTGCTGGAATATTGCTAAAAGCGGCGTAATACCATACTCACCCATCATCAGATTGAATAACTTATCCATCCGATAAACGCAGGCTGGAGAGGTAATAGGACTTTCATTGCTAGATACACCACAGCATGTTTCTGCAGAGGGCCAAGGTGATCACACTGGTGTTCGTGGCAGATTTTGCTGGTCGTGGGGTTCGAATCCCAGCTTCGACCCTATTATGATCAGTGCTTCTCCAGCGCGATACCTCCCAGAATCGCCCTGATTATGATCCTTGGATGGATCACCGGGCATAATCGTGGAAGGTTTGAGGAGAGATATGTGGGTCTTGATTGGAAATTATCAGCTAAGCACTTTATGTTTGACTGTGGTGTTATTAGTTGTAGGGTTGCGACCGGGTACGAAAACTGAACTCGAGTACCCGGCAGGCAATACCCGAACCGGACTCGAGTACCCGTAGTTCAATGTTGCCCTCTTGTTTGTAATGCTTTTGCGAACAAAAGGTCATCAAACATCTATTGATCTATTCTAAGGTATTATGTTTTTTTTATTAAATGCCTGCATGGCTTACCTAAAACCACAAGTGACGCAGAATATCAAAGTAAATGATCTTGTGTTTAAAACTTAGATGCTTTTTCATGGAACTCGTCGAACTACCTGCGTAGCTGATACATATGCCACAGAGACGGCATTTGGTCTTTTTTTTTGTGTCATCAAGGTCAAAATACACCCAAACATTTGAACGTTTGTCCGCTTTGTCGTCCATTTTGAAGTGACTTACGAGTTATCTCCCCTGAACGGGTACTCGAGTCCTGAAAATTGGACTCGAGTCCTAGGCTACCTGACCCGTTATCGGGTACTCGAGTACCCGTCGCAACCCTAATTAGTTGACAGGGAGTAACTATCTCCAATACTTTCAACGTATTCCGGGGGTACGGGTGGCCCAGTCGTCTAAGACGCCAGAAACCTATGATTGTGGGTTCGAATCCCGGTTCGCCCCGATTATGTTTCTAGGTTTGTCAGCACCATACCCATGCTCGTGGGTTTCATCGAAGTGGGAAACATCTGAAACCTGCATCACTTCGGGCTTTCCTCACACATTAAGCTGATACGCCGTGATATAACTGGAATAGTGTTAAAATCGGCGTTAAACCCTACTCACTCATTACCTCAGTCAGTTCCAGTAATGGAATGTTTGAATCCTAACTGACTTCATCCAATTTGTCATGACATGCAGCTGCCATTCAATTTCATTAAGTTGCAGTGGTCAACATCAAGATTTGAACATCTGACGGGGATAGCTGAAACATACTGTTTGGATTTGTCAGGAGAGAAGCAAGCTTGTCACAATTCACGAAACTTGTCAATTTACTTCAGACCGAGAATCCAATTACTGGTCCTACTCCCACACAGTTCATGCTATGATGCTGGCATCTTGGGGTTGATTGAACTGGATGATCCACAGAACATGTTGGTACTATTTATAACAGAAATATACAGGTCTATCAGAGTCAGGTATATGCCCATGGGTCGCATATATGCCGATGAGTGTCAGGCATATGCCAATTTGTGTTAAGTATAGCCCGTCAGTGTCAGGTATATGCCAATGTGTGTCAAGTATAGCCCATCAGTGCCAGGTATATGCCAATGTGTGTCAAGTATAGCCCATCAGTGCCAGGTATATGCGAATGTGTGTCAAGTATAGCCCGTCAGTGTCAGGTATATGCCAATGTGTGTCAAGTATAGCCCATCAGTGTCAGGTATATGCCAATGTGTGTCAAGTATAGCCCATCAGTATCAGATATATGCCAATGTGTGTCAAGTATAGCCTGTCAGTGTCACGTATATGCCAGCGTGTCAAGCATAACCCACCAGTGTCAGGTATATGCCAATGTGTGTCAAGTATAGCCTGTCAGTGTCAGGTATATGCCAATGTGTGTCAAGCATAGCCCATCAGTATCAGGTATATGCCAATGTGTGTCAAGTATAGCCCATCAGTGCCAGGTATATGCCAATGTGTGTCAAGTATAGCCCGTCAGTGTCAGGTATATGCCAATGTGTGTCAAGTATAGCCCATCAGTATCAGGTATATGCCAATGTGTGTCAAGTATAGCCCATCAGTATCAGATATATGCCAATGTGTGTCAAGTATAGCCTGTCAGTGTCACGTATATGCCAGCGTGTCAAGCATAACCCACCAGTGTCAGGTATATGCCAATGTGTGTCAAATATAGCCTGTCAGTGTCAGGTATATGCCAATGTGTGTCAAGCATAGCCCATCAGTATCAGGTATATGCCAATGTGTGTCAAGTATAGCCTGTCAGTGTCAGGTATATGCCAATGTGTGTCAAGTATAGTACATCAGTGTCAGGTATATGTTGTGCGTAAAGTATAGCCCATCAGTGTCAGATATATATGCCAATGTGTGTCAAGTATAGCCTGTCAGTGTCAGATATATATGCCAGTGTGTCAAGTATAGCCCATCAGTGTCAGATATATATGCCAATGTGTGTCAAGTATAGCCTGTCAGTGTCAGGCATATACCAATGTGTGTCAAGTATAGCCTGTCAGTGTCAAGTATATGCCAGTGTGTCAAGTATAGCCCATCAGTGTCAGGTATATGCCAATGTGTGTCAAGTATAGCCAATCAGTGCCAGGTATATTCCAATGTGTGTCGATTAAAGCCCGTCAGTGTCAGGTATATGCCAATGTGTGTAAAGTATAGCCATCAGTGCCAGGTATATGCCAATGTGTGTCAAGTATAGCCAATCAGTGCCAGGTATATGCCAATGTGTGTCGATTAAAGCCCGTCAGTGTCAGGTATATGCCAATGTGTGTCAAGTATAGCCATCAGTGCCAGGTATATGCCAATGTGTGTCAAGTATAGCCAATCAGTACCAGGTATATGCCAATGTGTGTCAAGTATAGCCGATCAGTATCAGGTATATGCCAACGTGTCAAGTATAGCCCATCAGTGCCAGGTATATGCTAATGTGTGTCAAGTATAGCCCGTCAGTGTTAGGTATATGTTGTGTGTCAAGTATAGCCCGTCAGTGTCAGGTATATGTTGTGCGTAAAGTACAGCCCGTCAGTGTCAGGTATATGCGAATGTGTGTCAAGTATAGCCCGTCAGTGTCAGGTATATTCCAATGTGTGTAAAGTATAGCCCGTCAGTGTTAGGTATATGTCAATGTGTGTCAAATATAGCCTATCAGTGTCAGGTATATGCCAATGTGTGTCAAGTATAGCCTGTCAGTGTCAAGTTTATTCCAATGTGTCAAGCATAACCCACCAGTGTCAGGTATATGCCAGTGTGTCAAGTATAGCCCACCAGTGTCAAGAATATGCCAGTGTGTCAAGCATAACCCACCAGTGTCAGGTATATGCCAATGTGTGTCAAGTATAGCCCATCAGTGTCAGGTTCATGCCAATGTGTGTAAAGTATAGTCCATCAGTGTCAGGTATATGTTGTGCGTAAAGTATAGCCCATCAGTATCAGGTATATGCCAACGTGTCAAGTATAGCCCATCAGCGCCAGGTATATGCCAATGTGTGTCAAGTATAGCCCATCAGTACCAGGTAGGTGCCAATGTGTGTCAAGTATAGCCCATCAGTATCAGGTATATGCCAATTTGTGTTAAGTATAGCCCATCAGTGCCAGGTAGGTGCCACTGTGTGTCAAGTATAGCCCATCAGTATCAGGTATTTGCCAACATGTCAAGTATAGCCCATCAGTGCCAGGTATATGCTAATGTGTGTCAAGTATAGCCCATCAGTATCAGATATTTGCCAACATGTCAAGCATAGCCCATCAGTGCCAGGTATATGCTAATGTGTGTCAAGTATAGCCCATCAGTATCAGGTATTTGCCAACATGTCAAGTATAGCCCATCAGTGCCAGGTATATGCTAATGTGTGTCAAGTATAGCCCATCAGTATCAGCCAACATGTCAAGTATAGCCCATCAGTATCAGGTATATGCCAATGTGTGTCAAGTATAGCCCATCAGTGTCAGGTATATGCCAATGTGTGTCAAGTATAGCCCATCAGTGCCAGGTATATGCCAATGTGTGTCAAGTATAGCCCATCAGTGCCAGGTATATGCTAATGTGTGTCAAGTATAGCCCATCAGTATCAGGTTTTTGCCAACATGTCAAGTATAGCCCATCAGTGCCAGGTATATGCTAATGTGTGTCAAGTATAG